GCTTTCTTGCCATAGCACAGGATACATACATTTTTTTTTTAGCAGTCAGTCATAGTTAAATATGTTCCTTAAATAACAGTGTTAAGATTATTGTTTAAATATTTTGTTCTCTAAATAATAGTTAAAAAATAAAACCACCAAACAGGATTTTTCCCAAATTTGCCAAAAAGAACCACCATAATCCAAGAAACTTTGATGAAATTCTTATAAAGACTCATGAAAGAAGTGGTAAATTAGCAAATTTAGAAAGTGAATATTATAACAGAAGAACATAGGGGTGGTAGTGTGATGGTTTGGGCCTGCTTTGCTGTCAGGCTCCCCTCGAAGGAGATTGTTTGACCAATAGCATGATATCCTAATATTAAACTACACTTGGGGAATGCAGCAAACTTAGAAACAAATTCACTTCTAATAAAAAAAAACAGTAGGATGATTTGGAAAGTTCTAATCAAACTCGAGCCCTAAATCCGAAAGAGGTATCGTGGTATCCTTTCAATGTGACTCAGTCACAGCAAGGAGGAATAGGCCAAAAATCACCTACAGGGATTTAACAGACTGGCACTGGCAGATTTTTTCAAATATTAGCAGTTGATTTAAAAATCTTTTGTCTTTAATGAATACAATTTGCATTTGGTAAGTGCTTTTTATATTTAATCATGTTATCACTGATACTGTATAGCAATACAAGGCTGAGGCTCACACCTGTTTTGGCTCGAAGTTTTCATGCATAACTTTGATCCATGTGTTTTTCAGTATCTCTCTTTTTTTTTCTTTTTTTTTTTTTAAGAAATGCATTGCTTTTAGCATGGGAGGCCAACACAGTTACAAAGGTCTGAAAGACAGATTATGGGATTGGGTTATTTAGTTGCATGTCTGTAGTATTAGGTGAGAAAACAATGGAGTCTCTTTTCAGTGTGTTTACAGGACTCTGTAAATCCACATTAGCACTGAGGCTGCTTCCAGAGGCTCGGATTACTAACATTCAAACACACATTGTCGCATAAGCACTCACGTGCAGACTCCGTTTATTTGTTTTTCGGTCAACTTCTGCGTCAAACTCTCCCCCTTCCCATCACACTTAACCTTATTAAATCTGCCCAACAGCATTCATAAAATGTCCCAATTCACCCATCAATTTGCTATATTCGGTATTATTTCCATTCAGATTGTGTTTGTGCTCCTATTTTAGTTGCCTCCCTGCTCTAGTAGTGCATCACTTACGCTGCTCATGTACTTATGAATGTGTACATCTGTTTGTTGTTTTTCGAGGAGGGGGTACACCTGTGAAACACAGCAAAGGAATATAATGTGAATCCAACGTGTTTTTAAAATATAACATTTATACTTCAGAAAGCATATAAGAAAGAAAACAAAATTATGCATTTTAAATGAAGGTTTTTCAAGGGCTTAGGTTTGATCTCAATTTTGATAGGGACACAATTGGTCTTAAGTTGAATTGGTCTGATGTCAGTTATGCTTAACGTGAGCATCAGGACACATTTTTTTTAAGGGAAAAACAGTATTTTTTGCTAAATTTAAACAAATCTTATAAGCACTAAACACACAAGATGCTGTTTATCAATGTTTGAAGCATGAGTGGCTCAGAATAATATGGGACAACTTGGGAAGAAAAAGAATTTTGCACAGGTAAACAGAGGTAAAACCCAGTCTTATTTTTTTATCTGATATGCTGATATTCTCTGTATTGTAAAACAAAGCAAAATAACATATTCAAGGGGCTGCAAATAGACGTATTGTATTTACATGGTCCCGGGGACTATGAGATGAACTGACACAGCATTTAAAATATTAACTTAAATATACAAGTTGTGAAAAAAGAAGCAACTGCTGCAACAACGCTGTATGGTAAATTATAAACATGTTATTTACGTAGAATTATTGGTAAGGACAAGTAGGTCGGGCCAAAATTTTGGTAGGGACATGTCCCTATGGTCCCTATGCAAAACCTACGCCCATGAGGTTTTTAACCAAACCCAAATGTTTACGGATGATTATAATAATTAATCAAGTCTTCCATAAAAATGTGCTCCTACCTGTCCTGCTCAATTGTTGTCTTTTTGCTGGCCTGCAACCTCAGACCCTTTTGTTTATCTGCAGCCTCTGGGGTCATTTTTTCAGAAGGCTTAGTTTTTCTTTTCATTATGTTGTCGATGTACAAATTGATCCCTTTTGGAAGAGGGCAGCAGTATTGCTGTAACAAAGTTCTTGATACTAAATTACATGAGTCGGCCAGGGACTCTTTATTTACGTCTAGACTCACAGGACTGATGCAATGGAATTCAGTTTTTAAGTGGGGCTGCAATACAGCTGGAAAAAATGTTAGTCTTTTTTCGATAGAATAATAGGGCTTTAGTTATCTAATATTATTTATTTTTACCTGGTCTCAGGATCAGAACAATCAAACCCTGCTTCACTTCCAAATCAACAAGGGTTTAAATAATAATTTCCTTATATTTTTAAAAGAAAAAGAAAAAAAAAAGGTAAAGATTAAGATTGAGGCCGTTTGAACCTGTGGGTTTACTTAATGTCATTTTGTGACAGCAGCATCCAGCTCTTCAATTTAAAAATCTGCATCACAATCATCTGTTGGATTTGTAAATCTAATCTCTCTATCTAGTCTAATAAAAATGCAGCCCTGAGCGTCTATGTGCCAGCCGGCCAGCGGCAGCCAATGTAAGTCCTCTAGTACTGCTGTCCTGCAGCTTTTGGGTGCTTCCCAACACACCTGTAAGAAAAGGCTAAAATTACCTTCTTGGCATGTCTACAAAAGTAATAGAGGCTTGACCATTAACCATTCGTTTGTTCCAGCTGTGTTGGAGCAGGGATGCATGCAAACGCTGCAGGTAGCATAGTAGTGGCTCACCCCTGATCCAGACCCAGCGTTAAATAGCAGGGCTGGTGTTTATCCTTTAGAGGGAGTCAGCTCTAGTCAACTCTGGTTGCTAGAGTGCATTTGGTTGTTTTAAGCTCTTCAGCATGCCCTCTGAGGCAATAAGGCAGGACAGGTTTTTTAGCAAATGATTTTGAAAAGAACATAAAGACCATAGAGGATGAGGCAGACTCCATGCAGCTCTTCAGCAGAGTTTGGATGGACTGAGACCTTCTGGCAGTTCTGTTTATGGTATGCTAAGAAAAAAGGCGTCAAAAAATAATAATAAAAATTGATATAAACGTAACCAGATACTTTTTTATATTTTGACTGACAGTGACTTTCTGTCTGCCTGGGCTGTTTGAGAGAGAATATATATATATATATATATATATAACAAGCCATGGCAATGAAGGAAATCAAAGCTCCTCCCCTATACTTTTCCATGTTAGTGCAAAAAGTAATAGGTATAAAACTATGGTGATGGTGAGAAACAACCCTGGGAGAAAACCATGGTTTGTCTCACTCTAACAGCCATCAGACCATTTTGGCAATCATAATCCTTTAATAAGGGATTTATTTCAATCAGGATAGTTAGAGATGACTGTAAAATCAAAAAAGCTGATAGTAGGACTGGGATCGATATGTGTTTCTACCTGATGTATTTTATTTATTTTTTTTATTTTCACTTTTGGTCATTTGAAAAAATAAAATGAATTACTGTGTGCAGTTTAACATTTTATTTTAGGATGAACATTGAATGTACAAAGTGGCATATTGCAAAAAATAAAACAAAGCAAAACACAATAATCTTTAAATATTTTCTATCTTTGTTCAAGTCTTTATTGCAGTTGACACCAATAAATATTGTTATAATCCCAGAACATCCTTCCTAAAATCCTGTCTACCCTTAAACGTAGACAGGGTGTCTGCCTCACGGACTAAAACTGGTAGTTGGTTCCACAGGAGAGGAGCCTGATAACTAAAAGATCTGCCTCCCATTCTACTTTTAGAAATTCTAGGAACCACTAGTAAACCTGCAGATTGAGATCGAAGTGCTCTGTTAGGAACATAAGGAACAATCAGATCTCTGATATAAGATGGCGTTTGCCTATTTAAGGCTTTATATGTGAGAAGGAGGAATTTAAATTATATTCTGGATTTTACAGGAAGCCAATAAAGAGAAGCCAGGATAGGAGAGATATGATCTCTCTTTTTCATTTTCATCAGAACTCTGGCTGCAGCATTTTTGGATCAGCTGAAGTTTGTGGACTTCCTGATAGTAAAGAATTACAATAATCCAGCCTTCAAGTAACAATTTCAGTAAAAAATGTTTAACATACGTATATACTTCATACATTTATATAAATGTAAGTTAAATATATGTATTGTTAGGTGGTAGTCAGTCTGCTGCATTGTTGTTTTTTGGGTCATTAACTTTGCAAGTTTCGCTTCACCTGGATGAGAACGTAGCAATGGTTGACGTCTACTTGTACCTTGTTGTTGAACCTTTAGCAGTTCCTGCACCAGCAAGCATGCCACGACAGTGGAAAGGAAATAGTTGCTTTTAAAAGGAATAGCTACCATCTACCAAATTCAATGATTTACTAATACCCTGCTTTACGTTTAAGTCATGATAAAAGATTTTGTATATATATTTTTTTAAATTCTTACATATAAGTGTTTACTTATAGTATTTTGAAAATACAACACACGTTAATGAAAACAGAAAAAGTAAGAAAAAAGTAAGTTATTCTCGCAGAGAGGAGAGGTGGGCTGCAAAAACGATCTAGAAATTAGTAAAATATCTTAAAACAAGTGTATTTACCCTTAATTGGAGCAGGTAAATAAGATGATCTTCCAATGGGAAAAGTATGTTTACTCTTATATTAAGATAATTAGATATTAAGCACTTAAAATAAGAGACAGCTGTTGGTTTTTTGTTTTTTCTTATTTTAAATGTAAAATGTATTATTCCATTTACAAAATGCCTCTCTTACCTGCTCAACTCAAGAAAAAATACAATAATAAAAATAAAAGACTTACATAGATGTTAATTATTGCAGTGTGGGCATGGCAAGTGCAGTGTGTTGATCTGTAGCCTCCACCCTTGAGATGAATTGCTTAAGAGTCAAAACACAGTGACATATGGAAATGGGCCAGCTGCTGGCAGTGTTTAATCACCGGGATGATTTGTTCAGGGAGCAGGAAAATAACTTGGAAGTCGTTACGGGGGCATCTTGGGAGAGCAAACATCTGTCTGTGTTGTTCAGAGTGCTGACACTGAAAATCAACACTCCTCTGATCTGCTCTCAGGGAAATCAGCTGCAATTATCCTCCTCTGTCTCTCTGTAGCTGTTCCATCCCCTTTTAAATGTCTCCATCTCCCCTCATTAAAGAGGATAAACAGCTGATGTTTGTCACAAAAGAGCCACCGTCTCTCACAGAGAAATGATGAAAATTAAACACAAAGCTGCATTTTCCTTATTTGTTTCTGGGGCCTGCAACAAAACGGACAATCGCTGCCTACACACAAACCTGCAATCTAAAGTGTGAGCTTAGATGTGGAACTCTCTATGTTGGTTGCAAACTCTACTTCACTCTTTGTGAATCAATTTAGATATTGACAAAAATCAGAATTATAGTGAGATTATTAAGGTTTAGATTATGTAAGAATCCAATATTTCTACCTCTCACCAGGCTGTATGTGTTCTTCTTTTATGTGATGTTCTTATATATATATACATATATACCGTATTATGACTAAACACACCAGCTTTGAATAGAACATTTAACCAAAGGGAAAGGTCTGACATGTGGCTTTTATAAACTACTAGTCTCTGTCCTGTTGGGTCAGCAACAGGCTTAGGAGGGAAGAGATCGCATTTTTCATTAGCTTCTAGGTGGAGAAAAGCCAGGACTCATGGGTGAGGCTGAGAAAGCAGCAGTGCTATTGATTTCAATGACAGTGAATAAACTCATAAGTGAAAAACGCTGAGCTGCTCCAATGTTGCTGCAGAATGAAATGCATGTTACTCCAGAAGCTAATTGTAGGATACAAACTTCTAAAACTTTACCATTCAAACATATTTCTTATATTTTTCCAAATTAATCAGGTTGTTTTAATGTTAATGTTTATCTTTGAGAGGCCACGTTTTTTAAGGTTGGGCTAGAATGATATCAGGTGATTAAAAAACCTGCAGCCCCATGCTGCTCTACCTTGTAGCGACGTGCTGCTATTGGTCCGTTATTTTGCTCGTTTTGTCAGCAGGCCTTTGATGTCTTTGACTCCACCTGTGAGGAAGAGATGTGGCTGTCCAAGTCCAGAGGAGACACGTTCCTCCTCAGAAACTGGGACTTATAATAGAACCTAGAAGAGGCCCAGACTGATGTGGAGTCCACAGCACACTGTCCATCATTCTCTGCTGGTTCTACACTTCTTTTCATTGCTCGCCTGTGGATAATCCTACGGCTTGAAGCAAAACGTATTTATTTGTGTCCCATGTTGCTCCACCTGTCTTTGCAATAGTTTACCTTTTGTAAGAAGCACATGCCTGGATGTGTGTTTACTGGACGGGGCCACCTGTGGAACTGGTTAACAGCATGCCAAGCAGTATGTCTGCTTCTGTCTCCTTGAACCCCAGTTAGCCTCAGCAGATGGTCGCTCACACTGATCCTGGTTCTGCTGGAGGTTTCTCCCTGTTAAAAGGGAGTTTTCCTTCCCACTGTCGCTACAAGCATGCTTGGTTGTGAGGGATTGCAGAAGAGTCAATGAGTCGATGCAATCAACTGATTTTTCTTAGAAAACTTTGAACCAATCTGACAGTGGGAACCAGGTAGAATTGTGTCTGCAAAGTGCCTTGAGATCAAATGTGTTGTGAATTTGCGCTGTATAAATAAATTGAATTGATAAATCACCAGGCAATTTACAGAGTCAATTTGATCGAATTTAGAGACTGATTGGTTGAAAGTTTTCAATATAACAAAAAAACAAAACAAAACAAAATCATTATCTTATTTCAAGTACAGTATATACAAGTATGTCTTTTCAGGGGCCAGAATACTCATTTTATTAGCTGATACCTTTACCTACTTGGAAAGACACGCATTTTCAAATCAGTTTTTGCAGTTTTAGTATAAATACAATGTACAAAATGTGCTAGTTTAAAACAACCTTACTCTTAAAATAAGAATAGATTTTTTTATTCCTATTAATTTTATTCCACATTAATTAAAAAGCAACTCAAGCTATGGTTTTTCCACTGTGTCCTACATAAAGTACATGGATTTTTTTTAACAGGATGCAACCTGATTGCTGTTACACCTAGCTTAACATGGTCCAACACCCTCTCACAATACACGTTAAACTGGTTAGTGACAACTGGTTTCCAATAATTAAGGACAGTGTGATGATGAAAAGAGTTTAAAAAACCTGGCAGGTGGAGACTTTCTTTTTTTGTTTTGTTTTTTCAGCAGTGGCTGTTTTTTGGAGAGTAGACTGACAGGAAAGGGGTTATGAGAGGGGAGGGACCACAGGTCTGATTTGAACCCAGGTCATGTGCGCTAACCACTGCGCCACCAAACACACCCAGAGATTCTTTCTTTAACCATGTTTCTGATTACTTTGTAGCAAAAAACAAACAAACAAAAAAAAACCCCTCAAAAGTAAAACATTATTTATACTCTGGTCAAAAGTGGAAGAATGATATGGCAATTAAAGAAATAAATGAGCTCTAAGGTGGTGATGCTGGATTGCCTTCTTGGCATGACCCTAATCTTTAGTGATTAGTCTTAATGCAAATATATGAATACTATGGAGCTGTACTGTAGTATTAGTAAACATTAGATGTATTTGTTCAGTCTAAATGAGTCATTTTCTGTAGAAGTTTTGTCCTATTTTGTTATAATAAACTAAATGTGCACACATTTAACACTTAAATCTGTATGTATAATACTTTTTTTCCCCCAGCTAGATATTACATTAAATAATTAATTTAAACATTACATCTACAATTAGAGTACATTTTAGTATGATGCTTAATAACACCAGGCGTCAATGATATAAAACCTTTTCTTCTGCTCAAAGTATAAATTGAGTCAAAGCATACTTCTAAACAAGCATTAAAAAGTGTTTTAAATTGAGCTTATATGTTGAAAGCTACCAAACTATACAGTCCCCGCCTGTGGCAGTTAGCCCTTTTCTTTTTGATAAACAGTATTAGAATTAGATCCACAAATATGAATTTTCATTAGTGTTCAAACAGACTGTACAGTCAAATGAACGAAAACAGGATATTTCATAATCCTGTTTTAGCTTTTTTTTATTTCATAATTATTATGCAAAATATAAACACATGCATATCACTTGACAATTTCCACAGCTCACATTAAACATATGACTAATTTTTGCTCAAACGCAAAATTAGAAATAGCTTTTGGGTAACCTGTTTATTCTTTTATAAGTCTCAAAACCATCCATAACCCTTTTTTTCTGCACATCCGAATTGAAATTCAGACAAGTTTTCTCTTATATGAATCATGTTTAGTTTACAAAAACCAGACAAAATCAAAGCACTTTTTAAAGGTATCCTCCGTACCAGATAAAAAATAAAATATGCCTTATATATAAACTATGTTGGCTCCATTTAAATTGGAATGAAGCCAATAAGTTTCCACCGCCTCTCAGGAGTTTAGATTTCTACAGGCCTAAAATTCAGATGGTTAAAATTGAAACCATTCAGGAAAGTCAGACATTTCTCAGAGATGAAGAGCAAATCCAAATACATCAATACAGAATTTTATTTTCATTAAACTTCAGATGAATGTCTTACATATTGTACAAAATTATTAGAAAATGTCTGCCGCTCCGTAATCCCACGGCTAATCCTTCATGGGGGGGTAACTAAAGACACTAAAGGATTAACAGGGAACCATGCAGCATTCTGGACCAGTTGAAGAGGCTCAGCCTGTCCTTCAGATCAAAGCTTTAGTCCAACGTTTCCTCTCCTGGTCAAACATCCACCCCCCCTCCCAGACTGATCGGGAGCAGCATTATCTGACCACATCTAGTAATGTACAGGGTAGAGATACGGAGTAGGATGAAGGAGAGGCCTTTCCCACTCATGTCTGCGATGGATGGGCACAGTACCACGTCGACAACACCATGCACGTTTGCATACGCATGACACATCATTGGGTTCCATTAGATGAAGAGTTTGTTGTAAAAAAAAAAAAAAAAAATCAGTCATTAAAAAGAGAAATCAACCAATGAGTGCAGGTCTGTTTGGATGAGGTAAAAGGGGATAGATGTTTAGCTACTGTACACGCCCAACACACACACACAAAACTCAGCTAAGCGCAGAAGCGTTTTCGCCTCTGTAAAATCTTCGCTTCTCTTTCTGTGCCAGACGAAAAAGAATTCGGGATCACAGATCAAGCTTAGCTGACTAAAAACAGGTTTTATTCCCAGCGATGAAATGATATCCTCCCGTTTTAAATGGAATTAATTTTTAAAAAAGCGGAAAAAAAAAAAAAAAAAGAGGCACTTTTACACGATCACTTTTCATTTTACACAGTGGTTGCATTTATATACGGGTCCAAAATGAAAAACAAAAACAAGTGAGACAGCTACATTGTTGTTTTTATTCCTGCGCGTTTGTTGGAGCACGCTCGCAGGGCGGGGGCTCGTTTTCACGATGAAGCGTCGTCTGAGCAGTTGGCACATGTACATGCAAAGCTGCAGAATTTGGCCTGCACAGGCAAAAAAAAAAAAAAAAAACTAAGGGGGGAAAAGAGGATGGAAGGAAGGAAAATAAATCGACTGGTATGTGGACAGAATGACGCACAGACAGACTGAAAGGCAGGTTGTTGATCTGCGACTCCTCGTGTCTGGTGTTTAGCAGCACCAGAGGAAGCCTCAAAGCATCAGACATCGGCTAGGTCAGTCGGTTTCAAGGATGAGCGGCGGTTGCTCGTTTTCCTCCTCTAAGCGGAGGTCGTTCAGGTCCTCTTCGATCCCCGACCCTCCGACTGCGCCTTGTTCTTCACAGTAACCTAAAAAACAAGAGCAACGCTCAGATGCTTGAGGCAATCAGGACTGAGAGTCACAGTTTGCAGCACATACGTCACATTACAAACATGTAAGAAACATACGGTGCACATTTATAAGCCACTCAGGTGAAGATGTGTATAAAGTTTTTAAAAATTTAATATTTTTTTTCCATCATAAGAATCTCAAAAACCGGGGGATAAAAATCTCCTGGTATAAAGCCACGCATGCCCGCAGGAACACAGATCCTCTGCTGTGTTTACAAGAATGCATGAAGTTGTTTTCTCAAATATTGATCTCTGCTAAAGACTTTTAGAAGTCAAGCAAAGATGGGGTCCAGTTAAGTCTCACTGCGTCACCCCCAGCCACAAGAGGCGCCCTCCAGCCGCTGCCAACAGCACATCTCACGAATGGACCTCTAAAATATTACATAATTCTGTTGCTCTTATTCAATCATACTTGCATTTATAGAGAGGTGAAAAGGACAATATCTAAAATAGAAATCAAAGATGTTTATTATACATTAAGTTGCATAATAAACCACCTGATTTGACTTGTAGCACCTGTGTGACGCTTCTCCCAATAAATAGAACAATGTGTTCAGACCACGGATCAGAAACGGAAAAACATTTTAATAAATGTGTTGCAAATGAGCAAATGTTATTTAGTGTATCGTGTCAGCTAGTATTAGCAGTGGCTCTTGCCATTCAGAGACGTCAGAGAGAGAGGTGCGATTGAAATGCTGCAATCAGAACGCCAGCGGCCGCAGAAATCAGATGATCACCATCCAAGGTTAATATTTGCTACATTTAAAAAAAGAAATTTCTCTTCTTCAGCCCATTTACATAAAAGCTAATGAGTGGATTTGAACTTTGATGGTTAAATCAAGCTCTAATGTGATGCTTTAAATTATGCATTTAAACAAAAAAGTTGATGAAAAGATGTTTTTAGTAATTATGGGACAAAAAAGTTCTTATTCCTGACTCTCACTTTATCCACGCTATTCACTTCATATCAGGTCATCTTAGCTCTTTTTTTTAAACAGGTTCTTTTCCATCTCCACTGAGCCCCATGGTAACGTGGGTGGGGTCATCATAACAGACAAAACAATAGAAGAACAACTGCACTGTTTACGGCTTTGTCCGACTCACAGTAAAAGGAGAGTCAGAGAAGGCAGCAAGATGGAGCCCAGTAGATAAGTTTAAGGAGAGTCAGAGTATAGGAATTTAGCTAATGCTAAGAACCTAGCGAACATTTAGCTAGTCTCAAATTCCCCTTGTAGAAACTTTAAGTTTGCAATGATTTTCTTTCATTATAGCATGATTACAGAAAATATTTTTCTAGCAAAAAACAGACTCATTTCGCATTTGATCATATAACTCTGAAACACATTACTATAAACCTGCTTTAACAAACTTTTTATCTCCAGAGTATCTGACAAGCACATGGTCAAAATGGATGTTATAACATTTCAGAGAGATCCAGTTTTTCTAAATTACCTTTAGTGACAGCCGCACTGTAGGTTTGGGCCACAAGGGGGCGATCATGCGGCCCCTGCTCAAGGATCTCATTGGGAGGCTCTGCACTGCTGTCTAACCTGTATCACGAGAGAGAAAGCATTAAAACTCCCACATTCAGCTGGAACATCAAACCTCCCTCTGCATTCTCTGAGCTTCACCTGTGCTGCTTCATGAGCGTGCATTCACCGCCCTCCTGAGGGTCCAGGTTGTACAGATACAGGTACCCATCAGCTGCTGCCACCAGCAGCCTGGGGATCTTCTGAATTCTGATTCAGAAACACATGAAGATCCATCAGAAACCTGCAGCCAGTTCAGCTGTAGATCACACACAAAGGTAGAGTCGCTCCATTTCCCTGTTCATTTGCATTTCAGCTCTTAGATTAACAGATTGAGGACCTGGTAGGAGGAAGTCAGTCATCCTTTCTAACAAACTGGGAGCAACTGTGAGCAGCAGGGAGCAGGACTAAATGATGTTAATATGTCAACCTGATCCTGGTTAACCATAAAAGAAATCTGCTCTAATGAGAAAACTAAAAAAGGAAAACATCTGTTGATGTTTAGCTAGCTTTAGAGGTTAAAGATGGTGCAGAGTAATTAATGAAAGCTTTGTAGTGAGGGTGTGTGTGCTCACACAGCTAAGGCGCAGATGTTCTTGTAGCCGCAGAAGGGCAGGCGAACGGTGGCGAAAGCTCGCCCCTGGGTGAACATTTCTGTGACCTGTGAAGGCAGGTAGGTTGTGGACGCCATCAGGACCTTCCCCAAGTAACCTCCCCAAGTTGTGGGCTCCTCAGCTGGCCTAAAAAAAACAACAACAACAAAACAATAAGACAAAGATCCCAAACTCCAGTGCATAATATGTGAAACATGGTTTCATTTTTCTCTTTATCTGATGGAAATAAATAAAATCCTGTTCAACAGATTACATTCAGATGCCCCCTTATAACAGGGTTTATACAGGAATGAGTAACCCTAATTGAATGCCTTTTAATGCCATCAACAAGTACCCATGAATCTCTTATATATAACTGCAAAATATTTCATCATCTTTACTGTCGACAGGCTGCAGCCGTGTCCCGAATTCCTCGTTTTCCAGCTACTTTTGCTAAAATTTGCATTTTCCCCATTCTCTAGATTTTTCTCCGGCTTCTTTTCCGAAAACATACGGCTTTACGATCAACCAGAAGCAGTTCCGCGCAAACAGATTGCGATATAATATATCTGACAAAATTATTTTGATAAACTTTTTTTTAAATAAAGCATTTAAATGCCATGATAATCACATAATCATTTAATGAATTTTAATGCCAATTAAAATTTAAAAAATAACAATTTAATGACTTTTAATGACCCGCGGGAACACTGTATGATGAAAAATAATCTACCCTCATTGAGATGAAAGAGCACAGCAGATTCAGGGAGAAAGTTAAAGGAGCCTTTAGACTAGAATACAAAATCCCAAGCTCTCGACTTCTCAAGAGATCTCTGTTCAGACTGATGACACAAAGATGTGGATCTAGCAGCTCTGACCAGATAAAGCAAGAATGTGGACACATTATCCACACTTTGAAGCATAGTGGTCACAGCATCATGATGTGGTGTTTTACCAGAGCTGGGGGAGGACACCTGGTCAGACTAAATGAGAAAAATCCTGCTGGGAGGCATTTAAAGGCTGTTTTGACACCTGCAGCTTTATTTCGATCCTGTTTGGGTCAGAATGAAAGCACAACTGGACTCAACAAAACAGTGCAGCCTGAAGAGGTGGTCTCGGTTCACACCCAGCCCAAGTCTGATGCTCAGTAATTTATGTCTGAAAAAACAACCATACTCTGTCGGGATATGATTCGATATTATGCACATAAATCACCTTTCTGGCCGTCGGTTTCTGCACCAGATGAGGAGCCTACTGATGTGTGTTAGGGAGCAGTAATCAGCGCCTCGTCCTGAACAAGGCAGAAATTTCCATTCTGCGTCTCCAGGGCTTCAGCGTATTATTTCTAAGCTGCAGCCAAGCTTCATTTTCTCGTTTTCCAATAGAAAATCATGTAGAAAAAAAAGGGAGAGCTACTGACAATGTCTGTACCTCAGTCTCTATCATGAAACTTTTATCCATTCATATCCTGTTTGGTCCCGAGCGACAAAAAACTGGTGTGAAACCAAGCGTACTAACAGAAAATGTAACAATGTATCATTTGAACATTCAGAAGTACACAATAACTGAACAGAAAACACCATAAAGACATGAAACCATGTCAGAGGTTCAACCTCCTGTAGGACAAACATGAACATACTGCCAGAATTGCAGTGGAGAGGGCTTAGATCAAGGTATGTTTGGTTCAGTCAAAACCCAGAACTAAATCCCACTAAGTATATGAGATGATATTTTCAAAAACAGATGTTTTGAGAAGAACTCTGTGCATTCTGACTGCAAAAATTAAAGAGATCCACCAGGATGACTGGGATCAAATGAAAGCAATTATTTTCAGATTGTTTTTGTAGAAAATTAAAAGAATTTAAAGAAAGGAAAACCGTGGACACAACGCCACACACCATTTCTATTTTAAAGGTTAACATTATTATAATATAGATAGAAAGGTAAAAAGGGCACTTACACATACTTCTCCTTCTGTGTCTCTAATTTGAAGATGTGGACCGTCTCTGTGTTGCTGGAAGCAGAGAGATACAAGCCTTCCATGCTGAACGCCAGCGAACAGATGCTCACACACCTAAATAAAACACAATTAATGTACAATTTAGCAAATACAGACAAAAACTCTTTAATTCCTCAACTACTAAATGTGTTATCATTCGTCTTCTACCTCTTGACGCCTCGCCGGAACTCAAAGAGCTTCTGCCCCTCTGGGATGGAGAAGACACGGATGACTGTGCCCTGGGGGAGGAAGCGAAACACACAAGGCGCAGGCTGAGAAGAGGAAGCGAACACAAAGATCACCCTGTGCTCTGACAGACAACAGGCCAACGCGTCAGACGATACCTTCTCTGAAGCCGTGGCCAGCTTGGTGCCACTGGCGTCAAACGCCAAAGCTGCTAAGGGACTGTCGTGAGCTGGAATCATGTTGGCCGCCCTCTGAGGAAACAAAACACACCGGGGTTTATGTCGGACTGAATGAAGCCCAAACAGAACAGGGGCCATATAAAACCCTAAATCTTTCAGAGAAGGGAGTAGAAACATTTCAGCCCTAAAACAAAGATCAAGCAGTTTGTGTTTCCCTACCAGGTTGACTGTGTCAAACACCTGGACCTCTCCTATCGTGGCGCTGCCTGGATACGCCAGGTAACAGTTATCATTGCTGATGGAGAGAGCGCACAGTCCTGGAGAGAAGCACAAACCACAAAGGAAACACTGAAACACATTTCAATCTAGAACTGGAGAAAGCTGGATGGTTTCATCAACAAAGATCCTGAAATAGTGAAAATATCAGTAATTTAGTCCAGAAAGGTAAAATTAGAAAATAAATCAGATCTATTGATACATTTCAAGTGTTTATTTCTGTTAATTTGGGTGATTTCACTGCAAAAACTAATAAAAAAATCTGGTTTTTAGAAAGAAAAACAACTTAAGACCATTAAAAATTATTTATTTCAGATGTTATTTCTGTTCTAGCCCGACTCTGCAGTTTTTCGCATAGAGGTGAAAATGGCTGCAGGAGCCAGCAGTTTGCAGACTGCTGTTTTCATACATTTTAATGGAAAGTTAGTGGAAGGAAAAAGTGTTGTTAAAAAAAGGGAGAACCAGAGCGTCTCAGTGGGTAGTCATCTTGCGATATGAAAGTTGTGGATTAAGTGCAGCTTCCGCCTGCCCCTGAGCAAGGCACCTAACCAATAGTTGCCTAGAGATCTGTGTATCAGTGTAGGTTTAATTTCTGAACGGTTAGGGGGAAAAGAAAAGGGTTACATAAATTCAGATTTAGCATTTACAAGGTGTGGATAAAAAATTAAAACCAACAGACATGTAATGTCTGAAATCATTTAGAAAGAAAAGTTCTCTTTTTTTTAATGACAATATTTGTTAAACGTTTTATTTCGAGAACCCAGAGGCTTCTACCAGGAAGTGTTTGATGCTTCCCTCTGCTGACAGACTGATTTATGTTTCCAGCAGGACTGAGCAGCTGCAGCTCACACAGCTTCAATGATCTTGGTGTCACTGTTCCAGCAACCAGTGACTCCATGATGCCTGGTGAGGTGGAGCCACCTGGGATTCCTGCACTCCTCAGTAGATTTACAACCATTATGGACTCCCTCTAATGTACGGTCCCACTTAGCGGGCCGACATTTCTGTATTAAAAACTTATTCTTATGCAATACTTGCATTTCCTATGAAGCTGATTTTGTTGCTGAAATGCTTCATCATAAAGAAATTAACTGAATGAAGACTTGAAATATTTCACTCTTTTTTAATATATTTGGCTCATTTAACGTTTTGACAATATTCTAATTTAAAGAAACACATTTGATGAAAGATATTTGTGAACCAAACCTAAACATGAGCCGTTTGATGGAGAACGGACTCATTTAAACATACTCAGCCAGTCTGTCTTTCTAAATCTGGTTTCCTCTATGAACCGACCTGACGGGTTAGGAGGCGTCTCTCTGATAGTGTGCAGCACTTTCATGTCTCTGATGTTGTGAATGTAAAGCGACTCTTCCAGACACACAATCAGCCTCTGCAGGAAGAAGATGCAAACATTACCTGACAAATGACCAAACATTCGGGATAGAAAAAAAATATATATATATTTAACACTCTCTCCCGTTCTCTCCTACCTGTCTGTTTAGCTTCACAGCCAGGATGGTGTTGGAATAAGAGTAGTTGCAGATCTCTGTTCCCTTCTTGAAGTGACAGACTTTGAGCTTCCTGGGCGCCTTCAGGCTCACGATGGCCACCAGGCTGCTGGAGAAGAGGCGCTCCACGATACACACATCCTCTGTGTCAGCTGAAGAAATATATACACACACAGAGAAAACATCACCTTTTCGGTGCCGATGCGGCTTTGCAAATTTTAAGCCTAAGGGCTTGTATGCTTTCTAGCAGGATTTAAGTGGAAGAATTAGAAAGAACCATTTCAATTGATTAATATAGATTAGAATATGTGGGGGTACCCACAGCATGACGCTCCCACTGCCATGCGCTCTAGAAAAAGAGATTGTTTTTTTTTTTAAGCTAAAAAATGTTTTACATGAGGGCCGAAAGCTTATTTAAATCCCTTCCGATCACGTGTTTTTACTGTAAACATCCTTTCTGCCACTCATCCTTGAAATGCCAGTTTTAGGAGTGTTTAACTAACAGCTGTCTAGTCAAAGTATTCTCAAACTCCAGCTTAGGCTCTCCACTGCGCCTTCTGAGGGACCATAGGCCTCTTGGCCACTTACCTGATGAGTACCCTTCTTATCCCACTGGTTATTCTATGTCTTGCTCTCTTTCACTTTCTTATACTAATAGGGGCTTCATGACTTTTAGTTTTACTGGACTTCATCTAGCTGCATCAAAGTTGACAGCACTGAAACACATTTCAATTTTACTCCTGCACGACACTGTAGCTTCAAATGTGTATAGGGGTTAATAAAAGGCAACAGAGATATGAAAACAACTTTATTCTGATTAGAAGGTTAAAGATAAATGTCTAAAAGAAAGTCTTAAACAGTAAATTTGTGTTTTTTTTTGTAAAAACCATCTCTGATATGCAAAAGATCGCATCCTGTCTAGACAAACTGCATCAAATTTAACCAGTTAAACAACCAGTTAAACATGTGACAGAGCAGCAGCATAATGACAGATGGTGATCTGCTGTAAATGCTGCTTGGAAAACAAAGGAAAAGGCTTTAAAAAAAGCAGGGATATGGCTTCCATAATACTTACTACATTCATATATCTGCTCCAATTTGTCAACAGATGACAAGGAAAAAAACTTGTATCCTGACTTGGTGCCAACAGCCAAGGACCTGCAGGGAAACCAGGGGGAAGAAGACAGCTGTGGTGACTGATCGTTGCATGGAGCTCCACCGGCTGCAGTTGGATCTCACCATGCAACACTTCTAATCCAAACACCGGGCTCCTCCACCGTTCAACATCCATTCCATAATATCAAAATGAATGTTTACGTTTTAAAACTAAGCTAGCAGCCAAATGACAGCAATTCCTCACAAGAACGACCAAAACACTCAACGTGAATACAACCTAATAACATTTTAGTAACAATTATATCTTATAAACACACTTAACGTTCACTCCAGCACCCTAACAAGCAATTCCGAGACTAAATACTTAAATGTTTTGTGGCTAAAGTTAGACCCCGACCTCACTGCATCACGTTAGCTAAAATGCTAAGCTAGTCTCTTGTGAAATAAAACCCTATATGAATCATTAACTCAATGTCTGACTGTCATTGTCTTTGCTTTCTTCATTTTATATAGATAAACATCTTCCCGTATATTTCACATTAGCACCTGTCACCCGGCTAGGAGCCCTGGTGGGTACAAACCAAGCTAACAGCAGTTAGCTTCAAGCTAACAGCAGTTAGCTAGAAGCTAACAGCAGCTAGCCTGAAGCCCCAACAGGCCATAGCATCCCCGGACTCTCTCCCCGGCCCAGCCTTACGTGTTGTCCTGGTTAAAGTTGGCGAAGAGAAGCTGGCTTCCGCCAGCATCTCCGCTCAGACTCGCCAGGTTCATGAGCTCGTCGCCGCCGACATATAAAGTTTCTAATTTAAAATAGCAGCAGCAGGGCTGAGCCTGTTTAAGTGAACTAAATTACTAAGTGTTGCGTTTTCATCGGGTCATCTCTGTTTCCAGCCCCGCAATTTCTGATTGTTGTTGTTTTTTCACTGGGGATGTTTCTCTCCCTCTGCGCGCATGTTCAATGGAAGGCGAGGTTCAACGGACTTAAAGCGCCAGCTTCACAAAATGACGGTAAATAACAAAAATAAGAATTCAATTATAACTCATCGTAATACTCAGAATGTATGACCGCGTTATACTAGCGGAGAAATAATTACACATATCACTATATCGAAAATAAAATAATGTAAAATAAATCATGACTTGATCCATCAGCGCCCTCTAGTGTCCAAACTATATAGATGGATTTAGGCTGGATGGGGATAAATACCCATAACTTTAACTTAAAGAAAATCTCTTAAAATGACTGAAAACAAAGGTTAAGTATGCTCTCTCTGTTTCATGCTCAGTAAAATAAATGTTTTATTTATAACATATAATCCGAACTTCAGTATAATTTCTTCCTTTTTGAATAACATTTGGGGATTGACAAAGCCAGGTATCCTTTAGTGGTGGTGATGCTAATAACAAAAACAAAAATGTTGGAACTAATATTTAAAGCAATGAAAAGGTAAAAAGGTAAGTAAGTAATAAAAAAAATCTGTATAGCAGATTTCTGTGGTGATGCTGTTCAAGGTGCATTACATCATAAGAAAATTCAGCACGAATGGGAAGTACGTACATTTATTAAAATCATAAAAAAAAATAATCAAGCGCACAACAAATGATCAAAACACCAAAATCATGACAAAGAATTGTATAAATCCTCAACTAGATACACATTATACTCATAAAGAGTGTGTAATAGGATATTTTGTTTATACAACTAGCATAGAAGGAAAGTAAAAGGAGATAATTTTTTGCCCAGGATAAGCTTCAAAAAGCAGTTTTGTAATAGTAAATGTGAAAGTAGATCAACTCAGGATTTAATATCAGACTATATGAAAAAAAAATGACTTGTTTGATAGTATTAATGGTTAGATTAAAGGTTTTTAGTTTATTTTCAAAGCCTGATGGCAGATTTAATGCTCAGTAGAATCCAGCAGAGGGCAGCATTTTGGTTAAAACTATTTGGCATGGTCTAATGTAGAATCATGGGAAAAATTAAGCACACCCTGGTAACTGCTGGCTTTCTAACTAAGCACATTTATTAACCATTCTTTATAAAATGGCTTTAACTGTCCGCTCCCTTAGCGTACCACCATAGTGTTTAAAGTGAGCTGAGGTCAATTAATTTTATTGGTTCATTGCTACAGCTTTTCTCATTCTCATTATGGTTATACTGCTTTGGATTCCCTGCTGTGTTTGGAAGTGGATTTGCAACAGTCTTTGCTGTTTACATGCAGCTCTGGCTTCATGATCGTCTCAGCTGCTGCTAGCACAAACCATCACCCCTCCACCACCATGCTTGATAGTATAAAATATATATGCTGATATCCTTGGCTTGCTTTGCCTCTCCCATACCATTTTCCAAATATGCTGCTAGGAAAACTAGCGGCCATGTTCAAGTTTTCTACTTGATGGAATGATATTGAATGCCTTCAGATTGATTTAAAAAAAGTCAAATTAATGCTGATTATTGCTGATACCTTTTCATCCTGGCATTGGATTACTAAACTGCTTTTATTGAGGGGTTCACACAGATGACAACAAGCTAATTCAATTTAAAAATACTTTATTAAGGTAAGCCAAAAGGGAAATGAATTAAAACACACCTGATATTTTCCCCTGATCCGTATAGACAATTGTTGCTACTTTCTTTGTCTTTGTCTTATGACTACTCAGATAATTCACTCAAACCATGTGAGGTAACATTTCTAAGACACATGAGAACTAAAGCTTTAAATGGGCAATTCTGAATTAATTCAATTTTTATGCTTTTGTTGTACTAAAACTCTGTAATTTCACCCAAGTGCATTACAATTCAATTCAATTTCAATTCCGTTTATTTATATAGTAGCAATTCACCATACATGTCATCTCAAGGCACTTAACAGAGACAATTCTATTAAGGAAAACCAGTTAATTGCCTCGAGTCGTTAACTTGCAGGACATGCTCCTGCTGGATGAGCTTGCAGTGAGAATATTCCAACCCAGGTTGGAATATTCACATGCCTTTTGTTGTTGACTCTTCAGCACTGGCTTAAATTGACAATTTATGGTCAGTAAATACAATTAAGACATTTGTATTTTCATCACTGTAATAATTAATGTTTATACTTTTTTTTTAAAGCACACAAGCTGTTGTAGGTTCTTCTTTTTTATTTTGTTTACATGAATCAGAAAAAACTGAATGAGGTTAATTGATTTCTGATACATTGCTCATTACATTGCTCAATGAAATTAAAGGACCTCTTTGAGAACACATTGGGCAAGGCAAATGTATTTGTATAGCACAATTCAGTACAAAGACAATGCAAAGTGCTTTAAAATATAGGAAAATAAAACAGAATCAAAGCAAGTAGAAAAAAAAATATGCAGAAACAAAAAAGAACATTAAAAACAGTTGGACTAAGGAAAATAAAAAAGTTGAACTAATGATGTTTCAGTTGAACTGTTTAACTAGAACAGTTCAAGGCAATCCTAAATAAATGTGTTTTTAGCTTGATTTAAAGGAACTCAGGCTTTCTGCACTTTAACAGTTTTCTGGAAGTTTGTTCCAGATAAGTGGAGCATAGGAACTAAATGCTGCTTCTCCATGTTTAGTTCTGGTTCTAGGTATGCAGAGCAGGCTGGAGCCAGAAGACCTGAGTGGTCTGGAGGGTTGATACACTGATAGCAAGTCTGTGATGTATTTAGGTGCTAAGCCATTCAGAGATTTATAGACTAACAGAAGTATTTTAAAGTCTATTCTCTGAGATACAGGGAGCCAGTGTAAGAACTTTAGAACTGGGGTGATGTGCTCTACTTTCTTAGTCTTAGTGAGGACACGGGCAGCAGGGTTCTGGATCAGCTGCAGCTGTCTCCCTCTGTGCACTTTTTAGGCAGACCTGTGAAAACACTGTTGCAGTAATCAATTCGACTAAAAATAAACGCATGGATTAGTTTTTCCAGATCATGCTGAGACATTAGTCCTTTAATCCTGGAAATGTTCTTCAGGTGATAGAAAGCCGACCTTGTAATTGTCTTTAAATGCTTTCGGAGGTTCAAGTCTGAATCCAGCACTACACCTAGATTTCGGGCCTGATCAGTGGTTACTAGCTGAAGCGACTGAAGCTGTGTGCTAACTTTAGATCTCTCCTCTATTGGTCCAAAGATTATTACTTCAGTTTTGTTTTTGTTCAGTTGAAAAAAAATTACAGCACATCCAGGCATTGATTTCTTCTTAGCATTTCCTCAGTGCTTGAATTGGTTCATAATCACCTGGTGACATTATATCTCGGTTTAAAAAAAAGACTGGTGCTAGTTATCCAAACTGGTGTGGAAGAGGTAATAGGAAATAAACTTAATTTGATGGCAATTAGATGACCAACCCACAGAGAGCTTAATCTACAATCAGAGAAGCTAAACTTTCTTTATATTTACTAAAAAAATACAACAAGAGAAGGTACAACAACAATCTTTGTCATTCTTTTCCCCCTCCTTTATTTTTCTCTTTCCATTTTTTTATTAAAGAAAACAAGTTCAAGAAAGAGGCAGAGGGAAGCAAAAGCTTACATGAACTCAAATCACCAATATTTAAACTAAAACAGAAGGAAAAGCAAAAAAAAAACCAACAACATTTAATCATGATATCATGATAACAAAAAGCACATGAAATCAACAAATACCTCAAAATCATTCCTTCCTTTATGCCGATCTTTTCAGGCTGCATTAAAAGTTTTGGGATTTCACATTTTCAGCTCGGAGTTAAGATATTTCCCGATTTACTTCAATTACAGATATTTAACAGTATTAGCAATTAGTTGACAACTTAAACACCAATTCTGCTGTTTTAACTTATCCTAAATCTTCAAACATTATTATGTATGATTGTAAAAACAAGGAAAATTTATGATCAAAAATGCTGCATGATTAATTACCCTTAATCCTCTTTTCTGCAGTGTGCAGATCCGTTCTAATTCTGTTTTTATATGTCTCACCCCTACAGCACAAAAGAGTATACAGTGTTTTTTTGTTTTTTTTTTTTTTTTAGATTTATTGTCTTTCTGCATGGAGTGTGCATGTTCTTCCTGAGCATGCATGGGTTTTCTCCGGGTACTCCAGCTTCCTCCCACAGTCCAAAAACATGATTGTGGTATTTTATTAAAAAAATCATATTCTTCTACACATTTTAGAACAAAAATATCTAATGCAAGGTTCAAGCTCAGATTATGGGCAAAAAGGACGCAAAAATGTACTTTCTAAAACTCTTTCTATTATTAGATTATGAATTTCTGCACTGATTTCTGAAACTAATTTACTCAAACTGAGATATAATTTTCTCTGCAAACTGGTTCTTTTATAAATGCTTGTCCACAAAATTGTTCAAGATTATAGTTTCAGCACAAAATATGAATGTCTTCCAACAAAAACAATAAATCTGATGTATTTCAGATAGTTTAGCAAGATAATGAATACACAAAATAAATAATGTTGAACCAAAGACTGATCCCTGTGGAACACCACAGTTGATAATGAGTGGAAGCGGTAGGCTAGTCCAATTTCTGAAATGTCACTAGAGGAACTCAAGGTGAGATTCAGTCATATCATGGATAACAGGTGGTGTCCTGAGAGGATCTCCTCCCAGATCCTGACCAGAGCATCCCTGAACTCCGGGGCAATCTGCGATGCAACCTTGTAGATGGACCCAAGTGCATCCGACCCCATGACCCAGAGATGTTCTATTGGACTGAGTCAGGGGAGCGTGGAGGCCGGTCAGTGGTATCAATTCCTTCACTCTCCAAGAACTACCTGCATACTCATGTCACATGACACCAAGCATTACTATACGATAGGAGGAACCAAGGACCCATTGTACGAGCAAAGGCTTTAACAATGGCTCTAAGGATTTCACCCCGATAGCTAATGGCAGGGTGCCGTCATTGATCCTGTTCGGGTTCGTACATCCCTCCGTGAATATGCCTCGCCAGACTAACACTGACCATCACCAAACCGATCATGCTGAACAAACATTGACGTCTGTCACAGTAGCTCAGGGAGAACCTGCTCTGTCATCTGTAAAAAAGAACAGGCTGGGCGGTTAGAGAATATCATGCCCTCAGG